GAATATAGTCAATATTGTAATAACTATGTTTAGTGCCAGGTGGGTACTAGACTTATCGGGGTGATCATTTTGTAAGTTAGATAAATGTCTAACCACTATGCTGCACATATGAAACTGATATTGAATGCCAACTGTAATTGAAAAAAAATTAAAATTAAAATTGAAAGAAAATTGAAGACCAATGTCCCTAATGAGCAAAGATAAAAAAATTTGCAACAAAATATTATAAAACCAAGTTTAGTAATACAGTAAAAGAATTATACACTATGACTGAGTAGGATTTATTCCAGGGTGCAAAGAGGATACTATTTTCAAAACGCAGTCAATGTGATACACTATATTAACAACAACAAAAAAGATAAAAATCATATGATTATACAAATATATGCAGAAAACCATTTGACAAAACACAAAATTCATTTATGATAAAAACTCTCAATGAAGCTGAATAAAGGGAACATATCTCAACATAATAAAGGTTATATACGACAAGCCTACGCTAACATCACACTCTGCTTAAAAGCTGACAGCTTTTCCCTTAATATCAGGAACATGACAACAATGCCTGATCTCACAGCTTTTATTAAACATAGTATTTGAAGTCTTATCCACAGCAATCAGAGGAAAAAATAAGTAAAGTGCTTCCTAATTGGAAAGGAAGAAATAAAACTGTCTCTATTTACAAATATCATAATACTATATGTAGAAAATCCTAAAGACCCCACCAGAAAGCTATTAGAACTAATAAATAAATTTAGTAAAGTTTCAGGATACAAAATTAATATACAAAAAAACCAATGGCATTTCTAAACACTAATAACAAGCTATCAAAAAAAAAGAATTAAGAAAACAATCCCATTTACCATTGTATTTAAAAAAAATAAAATTCTTAGGAATACATTTAACCAAGGAGGCAAAAACCTCTACTCTGAAAACTGTAAGACATTGATGAAAGAAATAGAAGACTCAAAAATGGAAGGATATATCATGCTTATGGATTGGAATAATTAATATCTTTAAAATGTCCATACTACTACCTAAAGCAATCTACAGATTCAATGCAATCCTTAACTAAATACCAATGGAAGTTTTCACAGAACTAGAACAAATTATCCTAGACTTCGTATGGAACCAAAAAAAGACACCAAATAGCCAAAAGAATCTTGAGAAAGAAAAACAGAGCTGGAGGTGTCATACTCCCTGACTTTAAACTGTACTACAAAACTATTGTAATCAAAACAGTATATCACGGGCACAAAAACACACATAGATGAATGGAACAGAATAGTAAGCCCAGAAATAAACCCATGCTTATATGGTCAATTAATCTATGACATAGGAGGCAGGGGTTTGCAATGGGGAAAACAAAGTCTCTTCAATAAATGATGTTAGAAAAACTGGACAGACACATGCTAAAAATTGAAGATGGACCATTTTTTTACACCATATACCAAAATAAAAAGGAATTATAAATTTACATGTAAAACAAGAAACCATAAAATTCTTAAACAAAAAACAGGTAGTATGCATTTTGACGTTGGTCTTAGCAATATATATATATTTTGGATATGGCTTTTCAGGCATGGGCAACAAAAGAAAAAATAAACACATGGAACTACATCAAACTAAAATGCATGTGCACAGCAGAGGAAACCATCAAAAAATGAAAAGATAACCTACTGAAATGTAAAAGATATATGCCAATTGTATATTCAATAGGGGTTAATATCTAAAATATATATACCTCAACATCAAAAAAAAACAATCTATTTAAAAGATGGACAGAGGTTCTGAATAGACATTTTTCCAAAAAAGACATACAAATTGCCAACAGACATATGAAAAGATGTTCAACATAACTAATCATCAGGGAAATTTAAATCAAAACCACAATGTGATTACCTCATACCCATCAGAATATCCATCATCGATAAATCAAAAAACAACAAGTGTTGACAAGGATGTGGAGAAAAGGGAACCCTTGTGCACAGTTGGTGGGATTGAAAATTGGTACAGCCACTATGGAAAACAGTTTGAGGGTTCCTCAAAAAATTAAAAATAGGACTGCATTATGACCCAACATTTCCACTTCTGGATATTTATCCAAAGAAATCTAAAACACTAATTCAAAAAGATATATGTACCCCTGTGTTCACTTGATTATTTTGTTTTTTAAAATCTTTTCTATGCACAAAACACCAGAATTTTGTGCATTATAAATTTGCGTTATACACAGTGCATAACAGGAAAGACTAAAAAGGCTTCCAGGTATTTACTTTTATTAGCACTTTTTAAAATCCTAATCAAACAGATGGCTTCGCCCTAAAAATCAGTGTATTCTGCCTTTCACAAAGAAGAAAATACAACTACTGAGAAATTTTCAATCTGGAATTTTTATATCTTTGTCATTCAGTAAACAGTGTTTCAGTCTGGGTGTTATCTTCAGTTTTGCATCAAGTCAATTCTATAGCTAGTTCATAAGCAGAAAGGGTCATCAAATCCAAAATTAAGTTATTGGATGAAACCATAAAGAACATTTTAAATGAAAAATGATTATTTATGAGATGAGATGGCAATCTGCATTTTAAGTGAGTTTTCCTTATGTAACAGCTATGAAGAACATAACATATAACTTGATCTATAATTTACTTCATAAGTTTTACATAAATCTATATCATATGAATTGAGAGGATTTATTTCACATTGTACTTTAACAGATTTTTCATAATAAGATGTGAAATTATTTCTTATAAATGGGTACAAGTAAACTATCTAGTTCATCTACTTCAGATTTAAGTTCAGTTGAATAATAATAGAAAGTAGGATGTGCCCACATTATATCTTGGTTCTGAAGAGTGACTGAAATTATGCAAATCATGAAACTTCTCTTGGGCTCATTATTTTATTCTGTAAATTGGAAGGTTGATCTCTCGGGGCACTAGCAGATATAAAATTTGATAAATGTAAGTGTGATATACCTTGAATAATGTACATAAACAATAATTTTCTGTTAAATCTAGCAATTTTTATATATTTTAATTTTAAAAAGCATTCAGGGCACTGGAGGGCTGAAGACAAAGATATTCACTACCTGCTGTATAACTAAAACATTTCACAATAGATGGCCAATTTCAGAAAGATAAATTGGGGATAGGTTAACACGGCCCTTATCTGGGATGCTCTGGCCTTCTCTCCCATGAGGGAGGGACATTTCGAAGTGTATATTTAAAATAATCAGAAAGTTTTTTTTAATATTCAGAAGCCATAAATATTAAATCGATTTGAACATCTAGAAAAGAATAATGTTTAAAATAACTAATTAGAGTAGTTAAAGGAAAGGTATCTATAATGAATGCCTAGAATTTTAGCAAAATAGAAGCAGATTTGAGAAAGACTAAAGTAGAACTTTTAACAATAAAAAATTGAATATAGATAAGGAAACCTTTGAGAAATATAATGTCCATGGAGATGTATAAGCAGAGATCAGAAAACTAATTTCTGGGAGTGATATAAAATAGGTTCATTTGTAGGTGGCCATTCTTGTTTCTTCTTTTATTTCTACTTCTGATTTTTAAATGTACTGACTGTAAAGATTTCAAACCATAAAGGAGAATAAAACAATAATCCCAAATTGTCCATAATTTCTCTATGCAGTTTCACTCCCTTCTCCCACTAGACAACACTGTTGTTAGGATCAAAATTCTTTTCCAAAAATGATGAATCAGTAAGTATATCATAAATTAATGCTTAAATAGCTGATAATGATGGTATGGAACATAAACATCTAATTAATGTGAAAAGTAAAAACTTAACTTTTCCAAGTAACTTTGGATTTTACTTATTTAGGAAATAAAACAATATGCACTACAAAAAGATTAGATAAAATTAAAATTTCCACAATTACTTCTTATATCATTATCTAGAGCAGGAGGCCGGAAAGTCAAGTTACATTTCCTAAATATAAAACTTTCTCTTTATACAATAGCACTTTAAAAATAAGGATTTTAGGAATTTAGAGCAAAAAGAATTCATCGGAAATCAGGGTAATTAAATAAATGAGACATCATGAATGGAGAACAGTAGGATCAGGTGTTAAAATTTGAGAATGTTATTTATATTGAGTGTGCTACTTTCTAGAGGCACGTAACAATTTCTCTAAGCCTCTTTCTCCATCTATAAAACACACATACAGTCAGTAGTCAGTATGTGTGTATGTATAAATATGTAATATATAATATATATCTCATAAAATAATACATATATACATATAATGAATTACATTAAAATACCTTGAAAATATTGTTATACTCCTATGTTGAAATGTTACCATGTTAAAGGTAAAACTGTAAAGGGGTTGAAAGCTGAGTATAATTTGGAAAAAAAAGATGAGGGAATTAATGCCCATAACATGAGGAAAAACCTGGAGGCGAAATGATCTTTATATATGCAAGATAGATTAAAATAATGAATTTGTATATTGTGGAAGGATGACATTTGCAAGCAGTGAGAAATCAGGTTGAAAGGTAGCTTAGACCAGATTGTAGAAGGTCACCTAGCATCCAACTAGTAAGACAAGGAACATGGTACTCTCTGGGAATGTAGTTGGGAGATTTTCCATCTCCCCATGCCCTTTCAGGAAGGGCATGAGCACATGACCTGGGCTCAACTTATTAGACACTATCCCTCAGGACTATACATTTCCAAACAATTATAAAGAGATTCAGGAGGTATTTTAGAAATCATTTTAGAAATAAGTTACAATCACCATGATAAAGTTAAGTACTAGTGGTAGCCAGCATCATCTGAATATGGCATGTCCTTGGCTCTAATTGCTGCCTGTTTTCTAAGGTTTGGTTTTTAACCTTCTTTAACTCCATGAGCTATCAAAGGCAATGACAATCTGCCTTTATTAGTCTGAGATAGTTTCTGTTGTCTGAAAACAAAAACATTTAATTATTTCATGTCAAAAAAGAGACCATAAAGTGAAAATTTATACCTACCTGGCAGTTTCATACTGCTTCACAGTCAGTAAGGTGTCTTTAATTGTTTTGTTTACTAAAGTGTTGACATTTTCAATGAAAGAATTAATGGCCACACAAAGAATTTCGCCATTTTTTGCCACCATCTTCTGAGTATCTGCATTTTCGCTAAATTCTCTCTACAATAAAGAAAAAAATATTTACTTATTTACAATTGTATTAGCAAATGCAACTAAAAAGCCTTAAGTGTGTCACTAATTGGAAATTATTTAATATGGAGACCTAACTTTAAGATTTTGTGATAATTTTTTTCAATTACACTCTTTAAATAATTGAAAATTAAAATAAATTGAGACTACCTAAATCATTGTTGGAAAAAACCAGGTAAAGCAAAATTATGTTTGGCTCAAAAAAAAAAATAGCTGATTTCGAAGCCCATGTTTTTCATTGCTATAAAAATTCTACTTTAAAAACTTGTTGAATTGTACAATTTAAATATGAGCAACTGATTGCCTATTATACTTCAATAAAGCTGAGGGAAAATCTGCTTTAAAAAATGTCACCTATGAGATTTTCTGAACTGGAAATTTATTTACTGGAGAAGAGAGGTAAGAGGAGGGGTACTGTAAACTTACACAGTCAAATGGTAAGCAGCTTTGTATATCATGATGGTAAAATGCAGGAACACTAATGCAAGATTGTTTGGATTCAAGTTCCAGTTATATCACTTGTTAACTATGTAACCTCTCTGTCCCTCCTTTCCACTTCTATAAAAGGAGGATCATAATAGGACCTAACCTCTAATATTGTTGTGAGCATTGAATGTGTAATAAATATAAATCTCTTTCACAGTCACAATCACAATCAAAATACTCAGAACAGCATGCAATTGAAAACTTATGAATTATTTCTAGAATTTCTCACGTAATATTTTCAGACTGTATTTGATTGTAGGTAATTAAAACTGCAAAAAAGCGAAATCGCAGATATAGGGGAACTACTTTACTGGTAATCCTAGCCGGAGTAATCAGGTAAGAAAGACAAATAAGAGGCATCCAAATTGAAAATTAAAAAGTAAAATTGTGTTTTTTCACAGATGATGTGTCATTTATGAAAAATTCAGACCCTCAAGAAATTATAAATCTTATCAACAAATTCAGTAGTTTCAGGATAAAAAATTTACCCAAAGAAATAACTTGCGTTTTTTTACACTAACAACAAAATATCTGAAAAAGAAATAAAGAAAACAATCCTATTAACAATAGCATCAAAAACAACACAACAGTTAGGAATAAATTTCACTGAGGAAGTGAAAGGTCTGTACACTGAAAGCCACAAACTATTGGTGAAAGAAATTGGAGAAGATATAAATAAGTGAAAATATATCTTGTGTTAATGGATCAGAACAATAAATGTTATTAAAATTATACGATCCCCATAATCTATAAATTATCAAAATTCCAATGTCAGTTTTTAAATTTTATTTTATTAGTTTCAAGTATACAGTACATTGGTTAGACATTTATATAGTTTATAAAATGATCCCCCTAATTGCTCTTTCTCTCTTCTGTCTCTCCATCTAGTCATTTTTCAGAGAAATGAATAAAAAACAATCTTAATATTCTCACAGAACCACAAATGATCCTGAAGAGCCAAAGCTATTCTATGAAATAAAAAAGCTGGAAGCATTACACTTGCTGCTTCAAAATGTATTACAGAGCTACAGCAATCAAAACAGTATAATAGTGGTATTAGAACAGACACACGGATCAATAAAACAGAAAATTTAAACATCCAGATGCATTACCAGAAGGGACTAAGGGGGGAGGGAGGTAGCCTTCGATATATAGTCCACCAATATTTAACAAGGGAGCAAAGTGTGTGCAATAGAGAAAGGATAGTCTCTTCAATGAATAGGCTTTGAAAAACTGGATAACCACATGCAGAAGAATGAAACTGGACCATCTCATACCAGACCTAAAAATTAACTCAAAATTGATCAAAGATCGAAATATGAGAACAGAAACGATAAAATACATAGAAGAAAACATAGGTGCTAAACTCATGGATCTTGGTCTTAGAGAAGATTTTATTAATTTGACCTGTAAGGCAAGAGAAATAAAAGCAAAAATAAATGAGTGGGACTATATCAAACTAAAAAGCTTCTGCACAGCAAAAGAAACCATCAACAAAACAAAGAGGCAACAAACTGAATGGAAGAAGATATTTCCAAACAACACCTCTGATAAGAAACTAACATCCAAAATATATGAAGAACACATAGAACGCAACAGCAAAACAATTCAATTAAAAAAATTAGCAGAAGACCTGAACAGATGCTTCTTTCATGAAGGCATACAAACAGGCAACAGACATATGAAAAGGTGCTCAACTTCACTAGCTATTAGGGAAATGCAAATCAAAACCACAGTGAGACATCATTTCACACCTATTAAAATGGCTATCATCAACAGAACAAATCGTAACAAGTGTTGGAAAGTTGTGGGGAAAAAGAACCCTCATACACTGCTGGTGGGAATGTAAATTGGTATAGCCACTACAGAAAACAGTATGGAGTTCCTCAAAAAATTAAGAATAGAATTACCATATTCCTCTTCGGGCTATCTATTCAAAACCTTTGAAAAGGTTCATTGTAGCACTATTCATGGTGGCCAAGACATGGAAATAACTGAAGCATCTTTTGATTGATGATTGGATAAAGAAGTGGTACATAGAGAAAATGGAATATTAGTTAGCCATAGAAAAAATGAAATACTGTCCTTTGAAAGAGCATTGATCGATCTTGAGAATAATATGCTAAGCAAATAAGTCAGATGATAAAATTTAAGAGCCATATGATTTTACTCATATGTGGAAAATAACCAAAAGCAACAAATGAACAAGATAAACAAACAAACAAAACTTATAGACACAGACAACAGTTTAGTGGTTACCAGAGGGTAAGTGGGGAGGGGGGAGGTAGATAAGGGTAAAGGGGATCAACTATATGGTGACAGAAGGGATTTGACTTTGGGTGGTGAACACATAATGTAATCTATAGATGTTGTATTATAGAATTGTACACTTGAAACCTATATAATTTTAAAATAATAAAATTAAAAAATAACACTTAGAAATAATGTATCAAAAAAGAAGTCAAAAATGAAAACAAAACCATATCAAAACTCCTATGATTTTTTAAGAGAATTACCCAGAGGAAAATTTATAGCTGAAAATGTCCACATTAGAAAGAGAAATATTTCAAATTAATTACCTAACTTTCTAATTTAGAGAAGTAGAAGAAGAATAAATTAAAATTAAAATTACCATAGAAAAGAAAATAATAAAAATTAAAGCAGAAATCTTAAAAATGGAGAATTTAAAAAACAATAAAATAATTTAAAAAACTGAAAAGTTGGCTCTTTGAAAAGACTCACAAAATTGATAAAGCTTTAGCTACGCTAGGAAAAATATAGAGAAGACTGAAATTTCTAAATCAGAAATAATAGTGGAGTATTACTCCAACCTTAAAGAAATAAAGATAATTACAAGAGAATACTATGAGCAATTTTATGCCAAAATTAAATAAACAGAATGGAATTAACAAATTTCTAGAAGTACAAATACTACAAAAACTGACTCAAGAAGAAATAGAAAATCTGAATAGACCAATGACGAGATTAAATAATTAATTTAAAACTCCCTCCCCCAAAAGTCCAGAGCCAGATAGATATCTTAACTAGTAAATTGTAATTTAAATAATTGACACCAATTCTTCTTAAATTCTTCCAAAAATAGAAGGATGGGGGAGCCCTTCTTTACTAAGTCTATGAGACCAGAATTACCTTGATACCAAAGCCAGTCAAACGTATCACAAAAAATAAAACTAGAGACCAAAATCTTTTATGAGTGTAAATGAAAACATCCTAACCAAAATGCTAGCCAAATTCAGCAGCATATGAAAGGATTATACACCACGACAAAGAAGGATTTATACTAGGAATGAAAAGGTGACTCAACATGGAAAAATAACACAATGCAATATACAGCATTCATACAATAAAGTAAAAATAAAAAAGACATAATCATTTCAAATGTACAGGTAGTGTTTGACAAAATTCAACAGTGTTTCATGATAAAAAATGTCAAAATCTAGGAATAAAAGAGGAGCTTCTCAACAAGATGAGGGCTATATATAAAAAACCTACAACTAAGATCATACTCGATGGTGAAAAACTGAAAGTTCTCAACCTAAAATCAGAAATAAGACGCTGACTTTCAACATTTTTATTTAACATTATACTAGAAGTTCTATATAGAGATTAGGAAATAAAAAGAAATAAGGCATCCAAGTGAGAAGGAATGAATTAAAACTATGTCTATTTATAGAAGACATAATCTTATATGTAGAAAAGCTTAAATAATTCATGAAAAAACTTATAGGGATAATAAATTCAGCAAAGTTTCAGGGCACAAAAGCAACACACAAAATTAGTTGTATTTGTATACACTATCAATTAAAATCTGAGAAGGAAATTAAGAAAATAATTTATTTACAGTAGTATCAAATTTTATAAAATATTTTGAAATATATTTAGCAAGGAGGTAGGTACAAAACTTACATGGAAAACTATACAACAAATATCTGAATAAAACAATGATCTAAAAAAATGAAAAGACATTCCATGTTCATAGATTAGAAGACTTAAAACTGTCAAGATGGTAATACTTCCAAAAGTGATCTAACAGGTTTAATATATTTCTTATTAAAATCCCAATAGCATGTTTTTCATAAAAGAAAAAATCCAATACTAAAATTTGTATAAAGTTGCAAAAAAAAAATGAGAAAGAAGAGTGAAGTTGGAATACTCTTAGCTCCCAATTTTATAGTATACTATAAATCTACAGTAATTAGAACAGTCTGTTACTGGCATAAGACGAGACATATAAATCAATAAAATGCAATTGAGAATCCAGACATAAACTCACATACATCTATGGCCAATTGATTTTACACAAGGATGTCAAGATTATTTAATAGGTAAGAACGGTTAAATGGTAGAAACAACTAAACATCCATCAGCAAAAAGAAAAATAAATAAAGCTGACTATTAACTCAAAAATTTAAAATTATAAAACACATAAGAAAAAACACTGGGGTAAATCTTTATGACATCATTTTTAGCAATTATTTCTTATATATGACATGCAAAGCACAAACAGCAAAAGAAAAAATACATAAATTGAACCATCAAAATTAAAAAGTTTAGCGTTTCAAAGGACACAATGAATAAGGTAAAAAAAAACAATGTACAGAATGGGAAAGTATTTTCAAATCATATACAGTAAGTCTTCACATCATTGATAGGTTCTTGGAAACTGCAACTAAGCAAAACAAGGTATCATGAAACCAATTTTACTATAGGCTAATTAATATAAACATGAGTGAAGTTTCTATGGCATATTTCTGGCCACAAAAACATCACCAAACTTCAAAATAAGACCCACAACACTTCTTATATTAAACGTTGAAATAAATGTGAGCTATACAAACATTTAAGAAAGATTAATAAAAACAAGTAAGATAATAATTTTTCAACTCTTATTCTAGCTCAGGGTTGAAGGTGGCTGGAGCCTATCCCAGAAGCTTAGGGAGGAAGGTGGGAACCAACCCTGGTCGGGATACCATTTCATCTCAGAGTACACTCACATACACACCCCCACTCACTCCTACTGAGACAATTAAGACACATCAATTACCCTAATGTGCACATATTTGGGATGTGGGAGGAAACCAGAGTACCCAGAGAAAACCCACACAGACATGGGTAGAATGTGTAAACTCCACACAGTAGTGGCTCCAGCTAGAAATTGTTATATTTTTTACTCATCAATGTTATAACAAAATGATGTTCAAGAACATGTTGTTATCTGATAAAGTTATATTATCCACAAACTATAAACACTTACAACTCAAAAACAAAACGTAGAGTCTAGATAAAAATTATCGAATGTCTTAAATAGACATTCTTCTAAGGAAGATATACAAATGGCCTGGAAGCACATAAAAAGATGTTCAATGTCATTATTCATGATATAAATAATATTTAAAAGCACAATGAGATACCACTGGACATCCATTAATACAGCTATAATAAAAAAATAATAAATGACGAGTGTTAGTGAGGATGTGAAGAAACTGGAACCCTGTACATTGCTGGGGAAAATATAAAATGATGTAGCCAATGGAAAACAGTCTTATTTTTCTTTATTTAGTTAAACATTGAATTAATATAAAGACCCAGCAATTCCACTTCTACCTATATACTCAAAAGAATGGAAAACAAATGTTTAAAAAATGTAAATAGATATTCATAACAGCAATATTTACAATAGTTAAGTGGAAACAATCCAAATGTCCGTCATCTGATGAATGAAAAAAAAGTGTGACATATCTATACAATGGGATATTTTTGGCCAAAAAAAGGAATGAATTATTGATAGATGCTACAAGATGAATGAAACTTGAAAACATTATACTAAGTGTTAGAAGCAAGGTATTAAAGCCCACATACATTAAGATTTCATATTTATTAAATATGCAGAATGAACAAATCCACTGAGACAGAAAGTAGTTTTGATTTCTGGGGGCTTGAAGAACAGGAAAATGGGAAGTGACTGCTTAATCATTATGGGGTGTCATTTTAGAGTGATGAAAATATTAAGAAATCAGATCGTGGTACTAGTTGCATATATTTTTGAATGTACTAAATACCCTGAATTGTACATTTTAAAATGATTAAAAAAGTGTTTTATACATTTTACCACAATAAAAAAATTTCAGCCAGCGCACTAATCATCTAACAGTTAAAATTAAAGCCTGAATGATTAGGGTTACCTAAACTTCTAGTCTTAAGTAGAAGAGGCAACAGAGGATATATAAAAGATATCACTATAAAACACTCAAAGAATCCTCATGCATTAATGATTTTAGTTACTGTGCATCATGAAAGAAGTTATACAACTTATGCTAAATTTGAGGCTATAATTGGATTCCTACATTCCTAGGATTCAGTTGGCACTTCTTAAGGACAATCTCACAAATTCTAATTTTAGTAAGAATTTAATAAATTACCAATTAAACATATTACCTCAATTTATACTAAATATATTACTTTAATTTATCACTCCCCTCCCCTCTATTCCTATAGCTATTATACAATAATCTTACATTTAGTTCTAGTGACTTCAGGCTTAAGTCACTAAAGGCATTTCCAAGTTGTTTCTGGATGTGCACCATGTGGGAAAGATGACTGGAAAACATTTGAGCCAATCTTAGGATATTGTCATATTTTTTCTTGTTGTCCTTTAATATATCAATCTGATAATCCAATTCAAGATCGACCGTTCTTGAGCCATGTCCCAGCTTCTCTGAGATAAGTTGACGAGTATACTAAAAGTTAAAAAGTGCAATTTTTTTTAGTTCAAAATATAAAATATATAATATAGCAACCTACAAGTACAAAAGCTGGAGTATATAACACATCATTTTTTTTGTTTCAATTAAGCTAGCTTAAACATCTTAGCACAACACAGTGTAAATTGTTAAGCACCACAGAGGTTAATCAGAACTCAATAAGTTTATACATGTGTCAACCCATGTTAATATAAGCATTATATTTAAAATTTCTGAAGAATTATCCAGCTAATTATCTGAAAAATGAGGTCTTTCACTTATCTTATTTAAAGTTTAATGCACTCAATTAACCTAATTTTTTTTTTTTTACGCCTACAGCTCCTGGTCTTCCTAGGTGGTCTTCCATTCAGATACTAACCAGGCCCAACTCTGCTTAGCTTCTGAGATCAGACAGGACAGGCACATTCAGGGTGGCATGGCTGTAGACTCAATTAACCTATCTTTGACAATATGGATACTAGACGTTGATTTTTATTAAAATATGAGTAATAAAAATATTAAAATTCCACTTTTCTATTTTAAAATGCCTCAAAATTCTCATAACTTTACCTTAAATAGCTATTATAGCTATTTTGTGTGTTTGATGTGTGTTTCTCTGTGTGTATTCATGTGTTTGTGTGTGTAAGAGAGGCAAGAATTTTCTTTTTTTGCCAAAGAGTATGTCATAAAGAGGCATGCTATTCTATTCTGTCCTGTAAGAAATATTTAGCTTTCCATATGGAAAGTGGTCAAAACATATAACTTATCAGACCTGTTGTGACCAAAATAACTTTTGACACCCAATTAGTGCTATAACAAATTATGTCTTAGTAGAACACCTTAAGAATGTATTTGCAAGGAATAGAAACAGGAACTTCAAAGTAGGAATGAGAAAATATTCCTGAATTCCACAAAAGAAAAAATCAGTCACAGCCAGAATGAAGGTATCTAAGGGAGAATTAGATAAAATATACACTCCTATATCAACCAAATCAGAATCAGTAGCTGAGGATTTGTCCAGATGACAAAGAATGCCTAAAGTTAAGGGTCATAAATTGTACCAAAGAGTTCAGAAAGCCTGAAAAACACAGAGTTGTGTAGAACCAATAATTATAACAGGCTCTGGACTTTACTAGAGGAAGAGGTTTTTGTCAGCTCATATGTATTGTACAACAAGCTCATAAAAATTATTTAATCAGTATTTTTTGGCTTGCTTAGACCTACATTGAAATACTCAAATTAGGTTATAATAAAATATATATTTCCTTTAAAAATGGAAAAAATAACTTGAATGAAAATGATGCTTAAAGTAATGCCACAATATATTACATTATGATGAATATAAATAATAAGGGGTTCTTAATTCTTATATGAGGTAGTATTATTAATGTAAAACACATAAAAGATAAGAATAAAATAAATAGTATACATATATATGTAAGAAGAAATAGATAAACAGATGAGCACTAAAGGAAAAGACCAATTCTGTGAAACACCAGAGAGATCAATTTAACAAATACTGAAAGCAGCTACATCTATAAAAATGTAGAAAAATCTTATACACCATGATCAAGTGTAAAAAAGAATGGCTCATCATTGGAAATCAATTAATATAATATATCATATTGCTAGAAGGACAAAAATATATAATCCTCAACATAAAAAATGGCATTGGACACAATTTAACACTTAATCATGATTAAAAACTCTTAATAAATTTGAAATAGAATGAACTTCCTCAAATTGATATAAGGTATCTATAAAAATGTACATTTGGCATCATACATAATAGTGAAAAACTGAAGCACGAGGCAAAGATATTTGACAATACTACTTATTTTCAAAATTGTGCTGGAGGCTTTATCCTGACACTCTTGCAAGAAAAAAAATGCTAGACATCTACATTTAAGTGAATAAGTAAAACCATTTGTATTTGAAGACCATGTCAAATATAAGACCCTATGGAATACACACACACACACACACACACACACACACACACACACACACACACACACAGAGAGAACTGTTAGGATTAATAAACAATTAAAGCAATAGTATAAGATATAAGATCAAGATACAGAAAGAAATTGTATTTATACAAAAATGAACAATACAAAAATGAAATGAAGAATATAACACCTTACACAATAATAACAAAAATAAAATACTCAGGAATAAACTTAAATAGATTCATGCAAGACTTATAAAATAAAAATTATAAAACACCACTAAGGAAAATTTTAAAATCTAATTAAATTGGGAGACTTTTCAGGTTTGTAGATTGGAAAACTGAATATTGTTAAGATGGCAATATTTCTTTGATTGCTCTACATAATCAAAATTCCAGCAAGCTTGTTTTTGTAGAAATTTACAAGTTTATCCTAAAATATATATGGAAATTCACAAGATCTATAATAGGCAAAAATGATTTTGAAAAATAAAAACAAAGCTGGTAGATTTTACTTCCAAATCTCAAAGCATAGTATAAAGCTGTAGTTATCAACACCATGTCTTGGCATAGGGTTAAAAACAAAGATTCATGGCATAAAATTAAAAGCCCAGAAGTAAATTAATGTCAATTAATTTAAATTAATGTCAATTGTTTAAAGTCAATTAATGTTTTGCAATTAATGTTTTGAAAAACAATTCGCTGTAGAAAGGATAACCTTTTAAACAAATAGTACTGGGACAACTGGATATGCACATGACAAAAAAGTTAATGTGAATGCTTATCTCTCACTGTGCACCAAAATAAATCAAAATGGATTATAGACTTAAATGTAAGAGCTAAAATGATACATTTTAAATTGGCATATAACATTATACTAATTTCAGGTGTATAACATAATGATTCGATATGTGTATATGTTGTGAAATGATTATATGTTTAGTTAACATCCATCACCATACGTGTCATACATTTTTTTCCTGTAATAAGAACTTTTAAGATCTATTCTCTTAGCACCTTCAGATATACAACACAGTATTTTAACTACAATCACCACGAAGTACATTACATTCCCATTTCTTACTTATTTTATACCTGAAAGTTTGTACATTTTGACCCCCTTCATCCATTCACCAACTCCCTAACCCCTGCCTCTGGAAACCAATAATTCGTTCTCTGTTATCTATGAGCCTTTCTTTTTTCATAGATTCCAAATATAAGTGAGATCACATGGCATTAGTCTGTCTCTGTCTGAATTATTTCACTTAGCATAATACCCTCATTATTTATTTTAAACAAAACATAGGAGAAAATAATTCAGATTTTAGTTTAGGCAAATATTTCTTAGATACAATCAATACCAAATGCATTACCTATAAAAGAAAAAAATGATATATTAAACCTTACCAAAATTCAAATACTTTGCATTTCAAAAGACACCATTTAATGATAAAAAAAGGAGAGTCTGGTTAAGATGCAGAGTGGGTAAGTGCTGTGCTCACCTTCTTCCATGACCACATCAAAATTACAACTAAATTATAGAGCAATTAACTTAGAAAACCACCTGGACTAGATAACGGAATTCCTATAACTGAAGATATAAAGAAGAGGCCATGTAGAGACCAGTAGGAGGGGTGGAGACACTAAACCGGCTAGTCCCACACCCACATGTGGCAACTGAGAATCAGGAAAGGCTATCAGCTGCAAAAGTCCCCATTGAGGAGTGTGGGAGCCGACATTCACACCAGGCTCCCTAGCTTAGGGATACGGTGCCAGGAAGAGTAGTTACCACAACAGCTGGCTGTGAAGATCAGCAGGGATTCCTAGATGTCCTCTTAAATGGACTGTGCACAGACTCACTTGGTCACAGTCACTTACCTTCAGCTCCAGCGAAGGGACTCTAGCTCAAAAGACACCAGCAACATATGGGAGAACCTGAATTGTGTGGCTTCAGGGTGAGGGCCACCATTGCCCCTGTGTGGAGCCCTCCAACTTTGCAGCCTACAGGGGCAGGTGGGCGCCAATTTGAATCTGCATTAACCGGGTAAATATCAATGGCCCCACCCTAGTGATTCCCTGAGACCCTGCCCCACTCAACTTGGTGGGGATTCACTCCAGGTGAGACAGAGGGCAGCTGGAAACCCAGATACTCTCTTAAAGGGCCTGTGCACAAACTCAATTTTGCTGTGAACCTAAAATTGCCATAAGAATAAACTGTATTAAAAAAAAATAAAGCAGCAAACTGGGAAAAAAAACTTCCAAAACAGATATCTGATAAAAGACATGTACCCAGACTATATAAAAAACTCTTACAACTAATGAGACAAACAACTAAGCAATTGAAAATTGAGCAAACATTCTGAATAGATATTTCTCCAAAAAAAAAAGTATATATATATGAATAGCTAATGAGCACATGAAAAAATGCTCAACATAGTCATTAAGGAAATTCAAATTAAATAAGATATTATTTCAAACCTATAATAGTGAAAAATGATACACATCAACAAATAATGGCAAGGATGTAGAGAAACAGAATCTCTCATACGTTGCTGATAGGAACACAAAATGTTACAGTCACCTTGGAAATAATTTTGGCAGTTTCTCAAATGCTGAAAAATAAATTTATTATTTGGCCTATAAATTACCACTTAGGAATCTATCCAA